AAAGACAAAGCACTCCCGGTACTGGTGTGACCCAAAACTCTTGCTGGGCTTCCTTTTTGTTTCTCCAGTGTGCTTATGTTTATAACATATCCTGGGTCCCACTTTTGGGTTAACTAACAGCTAAAGAGGTCTGGGACCCCAAGAAGTTGGGAATGTACAACCTATTAATCTTTCAATAACTTTAGAAGGTCAATAAGGCTCGGGTGAGGCATGGGTTACAGCAAAGCAAAGATTAATGTCAGCAGGCTGCTCTCCCCTGGTCTTCTTGTCAGGAAGGAGATGCATTATTTTTTCCTTCCTTCCTTCCTTCCTTCCTTCCTTCCTTCCTTCCTTCCTTCCTTCCTTCCTTCCTTCCTTCCTTCCTTCCTCCCTCCCTCCCTCCCTCCCTCCCTCCCTCCTTCCTTCTTTCTTTCTTTCTTTTTAAATAAGTGCTGTCCTCCAGATCTTACCAGAATGAACACTCCAGGAATGCAGAAACTATACATGTCCTGCATCTACAACAGAGCTCACCACATAGTAGGTGCTGAATCAATATTTGTTGACAGAATGAATATATATCTTGTCTAACATGTCACAGGCCAACTGCAGTGATATCTGAAATGATAACCATGGGGACAGTGACCTCATTGACTTCAGAGACCTTTAGTCCAGAGCAATCCAAAGCTTTTGTGGCAAGCTTTTGCATGAGGTTTAAAAGTCCCAGATCAGGCATAAGAGCACTTGGACCAAGTGGAATAAGGGTGAGCCGAAGATGTCCAGGGAGAGCATCCCTGGGGCTTACGGCAGTGACAGAGGCACAGGAAGAGCAGCACAGGCCGAGCCTGTGGGTTGTCATTGACCTTGTAGGCTCCAAACACCAATGGCAGTAGCTGAGTGTTTACAGTCCTCTTTAATTAAAGGTTATTTGACACCTTGAGAAGGAAAGATAAAAGAAGTCATCTAGCATTTATCTCTAGGGCCTCCAGGAGTGCTACAATCAAAAGAAATGTAGAAACAATCTAGAAAGGAACCTGGTTCCTTTTTACGTCTGCCCCCAACACAGGGTCGGACTGGTGGAATTCACTGTGGAGACCTGAAACAGACATCAGCACTCTGCTCATCCATCTCACTCAGTACACGGCAGGTCAGGTCAGTGTGCTGCAGCCCCAGGGAGACACTGGTTCTCACTGCCTTGGGCTTGGATGCTCCAAGTGGATTTCCACTCCGTGTCCTCCTTTGAATCCTACAAATACACTTTTCCAAAGGAGGAGAATTTTCAACAGAAAAGTGTTTCAAGGTGAATGGAAAGGTAGGTGGGAAACTATTAGCTGACAAATTATTATAGGAATGAAGAAAAGCAAAAGGGGAGCCAAGGGAAAATTATCCAAAAAAAAAAAAAATGAAGGCAACATAGGCAAGAGACAGAGGAGAAACCCAACATAGCAAATCAAAGATTTTAAACTTTTTGCTATAACTCTCTCATTATTCCCTACTGATAAGAACCTGTATCAGAGAGCTTAGGTATAGAAGTCAGCTACACAGCGACAGGGTAATATAGGTCAAATTTGTAAATGATGATTCCCACAATCAGCAAAGCCACACTTGGAGGAGGAGCAGGAAGAGGAGGGCAGATTCTTCTTGTTAAAAAAGAGATGATTTTATTCTAAGAACTGCCCACTGGTATGAATATCCACATGTCACCAGCAATGACATGGATGTTTTATACTCATTTTCACTACCTTTGATGTATTACCATGTGCTTAACAGAAGACAAAAGTAGGCAGTTAAGTAACTTGTTCAAGGTCACAAAGGAAAGAAGAGGCAAAGTTGAAATTCTAACCTAATCTCTAGCTCTTAAGTTTAAGTTTTTCCCACAATACTGCCTTTAACATATTTGTTCAGTGATAGAAGAGTGACAATATTAGATTTCTCTTCAGGGAACAATTTTCCAAGACTTCCATGTAGTTGTGCCTCACTTAGTGATTTGTTTATAACTGCGGTCCCTTACCATAGAGATCTATGCTCAATTTGGGGAATAAGAAGCCTATTGGTATGATAGTTTTCTTCATGACAGCTATATCCAATGTAAATTAAAATAAACATAACTTCATAACAGCCTGGCCAGGTGTTGCTAAGTATTGTAATATCACATTCAACATCTGTGAGAATCTTGACAAAAATTACAAATGATATGCCAGGCAAGCTGCTGTTTCTAAAATAATTTATCCTGCAAAAAATTTCAAGTCTCAGTATACTGTACTGAAAACATGTACAAACACGTGCCATGGAGAGAGGAGGGGGCACTAATGGGCTAGAATATGAGTAAAGCAGCAGGAAGCAGAATTAGGGAACAGTCTCTTAAATGACATTCTCCCAGTGTCAGGTAACATCAAATTTTACAATTTCTAAGTAACCCTAATAAAGTTCTACAGACTATACTTCTACTTATCCAATTAAAGAAGAGACACGGATTGAGTTTTTCCTTCTTAAAATTTGTAATTAACACAGGGTAAGGGATCACAGACAGCCTCCCCCAGCACAGCAGTTACCTCAACAACATGCCGTTTCTCTGGTTACAATGAATAATCCTTTTTGTTGTCTTTTCAACAAAAATTATTCATGTTGTTTTGGCATGGTACGGGGGGATGGTATGAGCTGAACTAGCTTTTAGCCATCTATTTACATTTTATAATCAAATAGCAATTATATTACAACCTTATAAACTATGGACCTTTTCCCCTCATATGCAATTGTGTCCCAACATTTTGAAAAACACGGCCAAAAAATGCAGGGACTTTTACGACAAATCCTCTGAATGCCTAAAACCTCAGAAAAGAAGGAAGAGAGACAAGGTAGGACAAAGAGCTTAGAAGTTGGAAAGACTGAGGTATGAGACAAATCCTAATAGATTTCTTGTCACCATGGGGCTATGTCCCCAAAATGTTCATTTTTGGTTCCTCCTCCTTGTTCTAAATCAGTTCTCAATTTTGGCTGACATTAGCATCACTTAAGCAGGTTTTACAAAGCTGTTGCCTGGGCTCCTACCCCCTAGACACTGATTCTTGAGTAAAGCTCAGACAGACACCAGCCTGCTTTAAAAATTGCCCAACTGACTCTAATGCACAAAGAGGGTTGAGAACCATTGACCTAAATAATTCAAAGATATGAATAAATATAAAGTATAAGGTTTTAACACAGTTTCAACTCACCACAAGAAATCTAAAAATCTCAAAAAACAGAACATAAAAAGCTATCACTAACAATAAACAGTAACAACAACAACAAAACAAAAACCTCTTCTAAGGCCTACAAAAGGAAAAGCAATGGAAATATTTTGCGTGAATCTCTTCTCTGTCCCCATTCTGTAGGAAAGCAACATTTATCAGTAGAATATACTGTGCTAATTCATGAAACTGAATGCCTGAGCAATACAGGAGCATGAAGTCAAACATTAATTCTCCATTTTACAAATGAGGAAAGTGAGCCTCCAAGATGTGAAAGCCAAAGAACAAAGACAGAACTTGACCCCTGATCTGTCTCAAACACAAAGATCTTCCTCTTTTCCATGTCTTCTGGAACATTTCTTTGCATTTGGCTAACTTAACAGGTGCTGGAACAGAGTGTAATTTCAGGAACATTATCTACTGCAGGATGTTGAAGGATTCTTTTTAAGGAACTTAATCCATAGCTCTTCTGGCTAGTAGCAATCTGACATTGGCAGTGAATAGGTAAAGGTAATATAAAGTTGGAGGGGCAGACAAAGGACTAATCGTAAAGGACCTTCAATGCCAAGTAAAGAGTTTGGAATGAATGACTGTACTAATTAATCAACAAATCTATGGGTACTGTATTGGGAAAGAAAACCCTCTAAGGCCTAGACAATAAGGAGATATCGGAGGTTTTCGAGTTACTATATCTGTGGTAATCTAATAAGCCAAACCAGAAAATTAACTACAATAAAAACCCCCATAAGAAAACATTCCATTTGCATGGTATGGTCAGGAAAAACAACAACAACTCAGAAATATTATGGATGAATTTGTGTAAGACACATTACCATTCTCAAAACATTAACTCAGAAAAGAAATCAGGGTTATTTTTAAGCCAAATCTTTGTAATGTTATTTTTTAAATTATAGCTTTAGTAGAATTTTTTCAAAGGATGAATTTAGCAGCTGGTGAAATACAACCCTCCTACTCAGGGCAGGTGGTCAGCATAACATCTGAGGGCTAGAGTCATAGTTAACAAGAATGACAGATTATTAGTTTCCCTTAAGGTAAAAGTCATATTCTCAAATATAAATGAACAAATTAAAATATCAGAAAAGAGAAAAGGAAACCATTTCAGTCTCCAGAAAGCCAAATATGTAGCTAAAACTCTATATTTAAATTAAATACACAAATCAATAAAATATAAACCTAAACAAAAAAGGAAAGAGTAGGTTATTTTTCTTTATTTCATACCTTTCATGTTTTTATAAAACACCATGGTTTTCCTACACCTTAAAGGGATATTGAAAATTAAGATAATTTAAAATGTTTCATACAAATGTATATACACTTTCCTCTACATCTAAACATGGACGTTTCCAATGCTTTGAAAAATTTAAAGCACTAAGAAGTTTGGCATTTGTAGTATCAGCAGGAATTCATTTGACATGACACTAAATTATGCAAATCAACTCAATATAATAATTTTTGGTTGTATTTATTACAGCAAATATTTAATTATATTGATATTATTTTCATTGTTTAGATCCTTTAGCCACAATTTGAATCCCATGTGAGTGTGTGTACATACAGGTGTGTGACTCCATGTGGCCATACATTGATATACATGTACATGACTCTAGTTTAATCTAATTATTTCTTAATTTTTTTTATTTTGGTATGATCAGAGTTAGCCCAAATAAAGATAAAAAGTCTTTATGAGATATTGCTCTTCATTTCTTTTTAAAACCTCTCCAAAATTGTGTAACATTTTATTCTTAAAAAGGATTAGAACAATGAATCATTACATACCATAATCTGTGATTTTACAGGACACCAAATACAGCTCTTTCAGGTTTTGTCCTTCCTTTGCAATGACCTCCACACACCTGAAACACACAAAAAAGTGGTGAGTTACACTAATGCATTTCAAGTTAAATTAGCAAGAGTTTGGCCACGACTATAACAGGAAGAGGTCAGCATTTGATGAATGCCACAGCTCCCTTCTTTCAACAGGCCCCTTTCAAGGCGCTTCAGGAAAAGGTATTATATTCCCTGCTTTAGACTCAAGTGCTCTAATACCTAAATGACCTTAATTAAATACATTTATGACTAGCGCATCTTTTAAAACTAGAGTGATGAAAAAAGAGGTACTCCTATAAGAGTAATATTACATTTGGTAATAAAAGATTAGTAAACATTCTGGATGATGAACATGTCATTTATATAATAAAACATAAAAATGATTACATTATTATATTATATTTTATGATTATATAATTTTTTGATAAGAATGATTATATCAAAACAGTAGGCTATAGATGGATGGTCATTATAGGTGGATGGTAATAGTGCTTCGGTTCAATTATTATTTTTTTTTAAATATTTTATTTATTTATTTTTTAGAGAGGGAAGGGAGGGAGATAGAGAGAGAGAGAGAGAAACATCAATGTGTGGTTGCTGGGGGTTATGGCCTGCAACCCAGGAATGTACCCTGGCTGGGAATCGAACCTGCGACACTTTGGTTCCCAGCCTGCGCTCAATCCACTGAGCTACGCCAGCCAGGGTACGGTTCAATTATTAATATGAGGTTTGGTAACACTGAAACACATTTTTGTGAAATTTTATTTAATATAAAAATATGTTTTGAAAATCTATAACACTGAGTATAAAAAGAAAAATCTTCACACTAAAAACTTTAAAATCTTTTCATTTAAAATGGGTTGTTCCTAATATTTTAAATAAATTATTGCATAAGTAGAGGCCATTTAAATAACATTGGTATAGATATGTAAGATCTATAATCTTTTCTGGTTTAAGTTAAAAGGTTTCAAATGCTACACTCTGCTTAATACCCTTAGAAGAACATGTAGTACAGAACTGAATAAACTTTAAAAATAATGATGAACAACGCTGTCTATTTTGTAGCTCAGTTCCCTGTAATATCAGGAAAACCTGTACAGTCATAATGACACATAGGCACATGAGTCCTTCAGTGCAGTCCCTATTTTAATCTTCATAAATAACAGTTAAGTAAAAGGGTAAAAGCAAAAAGAGTCATTAACCTTTTCTAGGAAGTAAGGATCAAGTAATTTGATACCTATGCGTATAATCCATCAAAAAATTACTGAGTATCCATCTCTGTCTTTCAGATATTTTATTTGCTGTCTGGCTTATTTGTAGGTATCTTCATAAAATGTCAGGAAATTTTATACAATTTTACTTCACATAATTCATTATTGAAGGTTAAATCAGTTATAGAAAAGACATATTTTCTTTAAAATATACTTTTAGAAAATATTGTTTTAATGTAATGAAAAACATTTCAAAGTTATTCAGAATAACTGAATAAACCTTCTCTTTTGTATATTTTTAAAAAATGATAAAAATTGATAAGGACTTTCATGGCTATAAAAGTAAACTTAAAACACTGACAGAATGTAATTATGATTGATATAGTTTATTATGAAGAGAAATTTAAAAATCTAATTTTATGTCACTTGGCCTTAACATAACATTTGAATAAACTGAGAAAAAGGAAGGATAAAAGCAAAAACAAAACATCACAGGAAACAACCATGTTGTATACACAACTTTGAAAACTAATTTTCACATGGTGAGAATAAAAATGAAGGCCCTACATGATTATAAAACCTTTAGTAGTTAAAACAAAAATCTGACTACTTTCTAACAGACCAAAGATACATATCTCACTGTTCGCCATCACCTCTCAAAACATGTTAGCAAAATCAATATTTTGTATGAGCACCACAAATAAATTAGTGCAGAAATAATCTTCATATCATTTATTTTGTTCTCATGTTCTTTTCAAATAGTTCAAAATGCATGATTTTATATTTTATTAGGAAAAAACCTCTAAACAAATGTAATACCCTATTTGTTCCTGCCACTTGATTTTAAATTAAATATGCTACAAGCACATGCAAACATTAAACAGATTACAAACAGCAAATAACACATATTGATTTTACTGCACAAGCCAGACCAAATGCTATTTCACAGGCAACAGGAAACGGTATTCACATAAAACAAGATGATCGATCACTAGATGAAAACTGTCCTAAAACAGATGAAAGGCCATGAGCATCAGGTTTCCTCCCCACACAACTGAGAAAAGGTATTATGAACAGGTACTGCAAACATATTTAGGTTACTCAAGACGCAGTAACTGAGAGATAACACAGGGTTAGAAGTAAACAGGAAGTACCTTTTAGACAAAAAAGAAAAATACAAGATCCTTTGCTTTTACAAAGGATCACCTAAGATTTCTGCTCTGTTTTCGAAAGTTCAGTTACATACAGTTCTACAAATACCTTTAACTGCATTATGCTAGAAGCTATGTGCCACACAGAACTCTTTAAATAGGAATTCATGAAGGAAAAAAAAACTATTTCTTAGAAGACTTGTAGCAAAATTTAATTTTTTAATTTAAATATCACATCATTTACTGGTGTGATATTTGAGAAAAGAAAACTCAAGTTCTGTGAATCTGGATTGAAACTTAATTTAATATTGAAACAAAATTAAGCATTTCAAATTAATGGTTAAAAAACTATTGTCTTGAGAGTTGAAAGTGGAACTGGTATGTATTACCCTGCTACTACAAATTGGTGGAAATGGAACTCTGCAACAGGTCTCTGGCTAGCGTCTAAAGTTCTGTGATCAGTCTGTGTCTAGTATCCCCTGCAACCTATGCTGATGGCTGGTCACAATGACAGGTCATGGGTGGTGACTGTTCCTTTTATCCTGAAACTTTTAGAGGCCATTCTAAATTACACTTACAGAAGTACTCTGACATAACACAAAGTCTGTGGATCTCATTTACTCTAAATAATTCTACTCTGTTTTAAAAGAATCCTGCTCTAGTCATGATCTATAGTGAATTAACATCGGAGCATTCCCAGCTACTGTACATATTGTATGCAAGCAACAAGCAAGGTGGTGAAGCTTAATAATTATTTAAACTAAAGCTTAGTGAACACTTAAACTTAAAATTATTTAAACTATAGGTGTTTGTGTAAATTTTAAAGGGGTGTTTTAAAAATGGTAGCAATAAGAGAGAAATGTTTACAAAGTGATAATCTGTAAGTAAAAAGTAGAGTGATAGAACCAAAGACCACATTTAAAATGTTTGCTTCTCCATCCCCTCTCCTATTCAGATATGTCATAGCAGAATATGCATTAGTCTCAGTGATAAACTATAGTTTTGTCCCCAGGGGCAAGAAATGAGTCCCTAAACTCATAACCCTGAATTCAAATGTTGCCCATTCTTCCCCTACCCCTTCTCCCTACCAGCCCAAGAACGAACCTCAGAATACCATATGACTGACATTCTCTATGGAACAGCACATTTAAAAGATTTACCATTTTATGCATGATAACCTAAGGAGTTATAAAATTTGGGAAAAGAATGATATCCTTAGGGAGAGTAATAATCTATATGATTATTATTGAGAAATTCATAATATAAAAAAAATGGCAGGACTTCCAGTCAAGACGGTGGCATGGGCAAACATGGCTCATCTGTCTGCACAGCCACATCAAAATTACAACTAAAATATAGAACAACCATCACTCAGTACCATCAGAAATCAAGTTGAATGGAAGTCTAAGAACTAAGGAATTAAAGAAATCACATGCATCCACACTGGTAGGAGGGGCACAGACATGGAATGGTCTGATACCACATCCATAGGTGGTGGATAAAAATTCCGGAGGAATATATCAGGAGCAAGGAGTTCCAGCCCTACACCAGGCACCTCCAGAGCCCAGGGTTCCAGTGCCAGGAAGACAAGTCCCTACAACTTCAAGCTGCAAAAACCAGTAGGGACTGAGTCAGTGGAAAAAACTTCTGGAGTCCCAAACAGTTCCTCTCAAAGAACCAACACACAGACTAGGACTAACCTACTCAGACTCACTCCCTCTGAGGTCCAGCACTGGGATACCACCTTGAAAGGCACCAGTATAATACAGGAAGGAACTGAAGTGTCTGGCCTCAAGGTGAGCGAAAACCATTGTCCCTTATCTAAATCCTCCCTTCACAGATCTGGCAAGCTGGTGTCATATGTGAAACTCCATCAACCTGGCTAACACTGTTTCACCTGCCTTGGAGATCCTCAGAAACTCTGTCCCACTCAACTTATGGGCCCAATCTGCTTTTCCATATGAATGGCTGGTCTTGGCTCATGCTGCATGACTTCCTAAATCCCACCAAACAAACAACACCTGGCCTCAGTGAGCCTCAGGCCTGGCTCAAGCAGTAGCCAGCCTAGATTCACAGCTTGGCTTTGCCTGAGAATCTCCAAGCCCAGCAAAAGTAGGAGCCATCTCAGATTGCTTTATTCTTGCAGGGTGGCCCTGGGCACAACACAGGTGGGGTGCTGACCTTGACCTATACCACCTGGGAAATGCCAGGGCCAGCACACCCAGTGGGCAGCTACAGACCATGTTGGAGCACCACCACCCTGCCCCTGCACAGCTGATACTGCACGGAGGGTGGAGGTTGGTGGTCAGTGGTCACAGACAACCCTTGCAGCTGACTGGCCTGGATAAAACTTTCCCATTGATCTACCAACAGCAGTCAAAGCTCAACTACAAGAGGAGGGTGTACTCAGTCCACAAGAAGGGTGCATCTTGAGCATTGAGTTTTGGCAATAGGGGAGGCTGTGCCACTAGACCCTACAGGATACTTACTATATTAGGCCACACTACCAAGACACAGAGTCAAAGCAACCCTATCTAATACATAGACACACACACAGGGAGGCTGCCAAAATGAGGAGACAAAGAAACATGGCCCAAATGAAAGAACAAACCAAAACTCCAGAAAAAGAGCTAAACAAAATGGAGATAAGCAATCTATCAGATG